CCGGGTCCATCTCTATCCCCTCATGCGATATACGATATCCAAGATAGTCGATTTTGTCTTGATGGAATTCACATTTAGAAAGTTTGGCATAGAGTTCAGCTGCTCTGAGTTTATTCAAGACTGCTCGAACCAATCTTATATGGTCGGCCATGTTGTCAGAATAAATTAGAATATTGTCCAAATAGACCAACACCCCCTTATATAGATGCTCATGCAACACTTCGTTGATCAACTGCATGAATACGGCCGGGGCCCTCTGTAGTCCAAAAGGGAGTACTCTAAATTGGAAACATCCCAGTGGGCAATTAAATGCTGTCTTCCATTCATCTACCTCTTTTATTCTCACTCAGTAGTATGCCTCTCTTAAATCAAGTTTGGTAAAAAAAATTTCCTTTTCCTAAATGGGCCAACATGTCCTTCATAAGTGGGAGGGGATAGACATTTTCCACGCAAATGGCGTTCATGTTTCTATAATCAACAACTAATCTGAAGGATCCATCTTTCTTTTCGCGGAACATTACTGGCGCTGCTACCTTGGGTTTGGCTCGTTCGATAAATCCCCGTTCTAAGTTTTTGTCAATAAAATTTCGCAATTCCCCCAATTCTCGAGGCGTCATGGGGTATATTTTTGTTTTGGGAAGCTTCACCCCTGGGAGTATTTCAATGGTGCAGTCAGTGGCCCTGTGGGGAGACAGAGCATCCGATGCTTTTTCACTAAACACTTCCTTGAAGTCACAATATTCCTTCGGAATTTTCTCTTCTCCCTCAATATAGTTAATGGCTACTGCTGCCCCTTCTGGTCTTATGTCGTCCCTTAGGGAGGGGCCTTCCTTTTCCGGAGTTGGGTCTGCTGTACGGATGCGCAGGACCCCCGTTTTCCAATTTACTCATGGGTTCCATTTACGAAGCCAGGGCAGTCCTAGAATCAGGGGTCTTTCCATGCCAGGTGCTACGATAAAACTGAGCTTCTCTACATGATTCCCCAACTGTAGTTCAAGGGGTTCAGTCATAAAACTAGCTGGGCCCCCTCCTGCAATCGACCCATCTAATTGACAAAATGCAATGGGTCTTTTTAAAGTTTTCAGTCTCAGTCCCATTTCCTCCACTACTTTGGGGCTAATTATGCACCTAGTGCACCCCGAGTCCAACAGGGCTAACAATTGCGCGTGAGTTCCTGTGGAGGGCACCCTTACTTCTACGGGGATGAGTAAGGGTTCTTCCGTGTGACTCACCCGTTCGTTGGTGTCAGAGTCGGAGTCCGTCTTGCTGTTGTCATCGTTGGTCGGAGTTCCCAACTCACGCTGGTTCCGGGGAGTGAACTCAACGACTTCTCCTTTCAGGGCGGTGCCGCGGGTTTTGGCGGGTATTTTATCGCTTTTCTTTTGGCTGGCCCCGGTGGCTTTTGGCGGTGGTTTGGAGAAACATTCGGCCGCCCGGTGACCCTCCTTCCCACATTTGAAACAGGTGAAGGGCTTTGACTTGGGTTTGAATTCGGTCTTCCCGCCAGTCATCTTGGCCGCCCCCTTACGGTAGAAAGAGGATGACTGGTCCCCCATCCGCCTTCCTCGGAGTTCGCTCCGTTTCAGCTCGATCTCCACATCCTCAGCTACTATGTACCATCTATCCAAATCATCGGGGACCCCCATGCTCCTGCAATCTCGATATATCTCTTCATTCAATCCATCCTTGAAACTCTCCAAAAGAGCCATTTCTGACCAGCCTGTCATATAAGGTGCCGGTTCACGAAACTCTTGGATATACTCTGCCACCGGCCTCCGGCCCTGCTGAATGCTCTTCATTCTGAGTCTCGCCTTTCGTTCAGCTAAATGGTCTTCAAAACGCCTTCTAAGGGCCCTCATGAACTGGTTGTAATTTCTCAGCAGGAGGGAGTTGTTATTGTGGAGAACCACCATCCACTCAGCCGCCACTCCCTCTAGGGCATTCGCAACGCTTCTGACTTTAGCCGCCTCTGTTTCGTAGTCCTCCCCCCAATCCTGCATGTGGTTCCACACTTGGGTCAGGAAAAATCCCAAGGTTTTAGGATTTCCATCAAACTTCCCAGGAAGGGGGGGATTTTTGGCTTTTTACGTCTGTGGGGGGGGGGCCTGCAGGGCTGGGGTTCTCTGGCCGGCTGCATCTCTCCCTCAAGCTGCCGAAGCCTGGGATGTTCCCTCCTCAAACTCTTCCTCTCCCCCGCAGGCTGTCTCTTCGGCCTCCCCCCGGGGTCTGCTTCCCCCTTCTCCACAGGAGTTTCAAAAGACTCACGGTTTTTTCTGCTTTCTTCCACATCACGGATAAGCTGCAAGGCTTGATCTATCATGAGACATTCCTTCTGCTGTTGCATCCACACTGCCTCCCTTTTTCGGGGTCTGGAAGTCGTCACTCCCCGGGGATTCTCCCCCCAGTCCGGCAGTCTCCCCACTCCTTTGGACCATCTACCTTCCTCCGGCTCCAAACGGAGTTTTTCCAGCCATTCTGCAGTTTCTCTTTCCGACTGGAGGGCGGTTGAACTCGCTGCCCCCATCTTCCCTTCTTCATCACTCCCTCGATCTGACATACTTTGGATTTTCAGTCCCCTCGGGTTTTGTACGGGATGACTGGGATGACTTCCAGCTTAATGTCAGGTATGCTTCCTTCAGTATCCAGGAAAGAAAACCCCAAACTCAAGCATTTTGAAGAATTTGGTACTTTTACTGAATATGAAAGATTAACAGCCCAGGAAAAGCTGGAAGTGATCAAAACGCGCGAAATGCATCTACTAAGCTTCTTCCCCCCCTCGTGTTTATATTTTCTCAGCCAATCTAAAGGTCTTCCAAAGGTCAGGTGGCAACACGTCTGGCAGCGTCATCCATCAGGAATGTTGAGACAGTTGGTCAGCCATCCCCTTCTGAAATCCAGTTTCGATTCCCACGAAGTCCCCTCCTACAAAGACAAACCCCCTCCTGCTCTCTTCCCCCCCTTTGCTCCATACCTAATCCCTCCCCGTTTCTTATGGCAGCTAAAGCAGAAAAGCTGAGGCTGACAGAGTGCCCTGTACTCTAGTGAACTTTGAATCTTGCTTAAGCATTAGCTCTTCCCTCTGACAGCTACTGTTATCCAGGATCTACTATCTATAATGATTACTCATATCAGATGAAGGACTACAATTGCTGAAGGAATACAAAGGAGAACAAGATACATAAAAGCCCATTTAAATTTCTCTGCCTTCCTGTAAGCAAGGGAACACTGAGAGAAGAAATAGTATGATAGACCTCATGTTTTAGTATCAGAAACATAATCATTGTCTTTCATGGTCTCAATTAGGAATATAGTGGATTTAAAATAAGCCCTCAAAAATATCCTTTCTTTGGAACTTTGCTTTTAGTTGTAATTTTAATTTCAAATGATTACATTTCTCTGAGCAAGAATTGGAACTATATTTTGATTGCTGCAGTAATGAGTGAAGTATGCTGAATATATTCTAAAGGTCTATAGTCAGTCCAGCTTCTATACAATACTGCTTTTGTACACCAAGGACAGTGGTATCAGTGAAACCATTGAAAAAGAATAGAAGCTGAGAAGATTGCTTTGCTTTATTGGAAAGACTATAGTGTTCGGATCTATACCTTCTACATAGGAATTGATTTTAATAGTACTGGGAGAAATCTGATCAATATGATTTTTGTTATGTAAATAGGTTTGTTTGGCGGGAAGTTCGAATTAACTGACCCTCAGCTGATTGGCTGACCACCACAGCTGCTAGGTATATAAAGGGAGCTGGCTCCCCTGGTCAGTTGCTGGAGTCTCACCATACAATAAAGAGCTGTTGTCACGAACTACTCTGGCTTGCTGCATCCTCATTCACCCCACTTAACCTTGGCGACGAAGGTGGGATTTTGAGGCCAGAAGCAGAGGAGAGCTGAAGCCACACTCGAGAGAAAGAGCTGAAGCCACGTTCAGAGAAGGGACCGGAGACCGCAACCAAATCCAGCCAGGCGAGCGAGCGGAGCACAGGAGAATCCCCGAAACGATGTCTGCCTACACCCCGCCAGCGCCTTTCGACCCCAAGGAAGAGAAGTGGGGATCCTACATGTCTCGGTTCGAGTGCTTCATGGTGGCAAACGACATGCAAGGGCTACCGGACGTTCGGAAGAAAGCCCTGTTCCTGAGTCACTGCGGGCCAAGGGTCTTCGACACAGCCGAAGCATTGTCGGAGCCGAATTCAGTCCACAACATTTCCTGGTCGACGCTACAGACCCTGCTGAAAGACCACTATGCACCAACGCCATTGAAGTACGTCCAACGCTATGATTTCTGGCAACGGCTACAGCAGGAGGGCGAATCGATCAGCGAGTACGTCGCCGCCCTGGTAAGGCCGCAACCCAATGTGAGTACCGAGACCTGGATGAGAAGCTCCTAGAGCAACTAATTTGCGGAGTGAGAGATAGCCGGCTCCAGAGAAGGCTGCTTGCAAGGTCAAACCTGACCCTACTCATCGCGCTAGACGAGGCCAGGGCGCAAGAGTCAGCAGTAAAGGCCGCCGAGAGATTAAAGAGCTCCCACCTAACCAAAACAACGCAGAAGACAGCGCCAGTGCATCGAGAGGCCGTAAGCACCGCGAGCGAGGGGGAGTCTGAAGAGGAGGTCTACCGCACCGAGCAGTCCCGCACAGCCTGGAGGGAGCCCAGAGACGGATGCGCCAGCTGCGGAGGGTCCCACTCACGACAAAACTGTAAGTTCAGGGACGCCGTTTGCCGTTCCTGTGAGAAGAGGGGCCACATCGCTAGGGTCTGCAGATCGAAGTCACACCAGAGCTACAGACCACGTGGCCAGACTGCCCAATCCGAGACGGCGCCACACCGAAGGCCCAACAGGGATGGTGGAAACCGGAAGGGCGCGAAATTTGAAGACGCTGGGGCCTACACCATACGCATCGCACAGACCTGCACCTCGCCCGGAGAGAAGACCTACACCACGGTCGAGATCAAGGGACGGGAGTGCCAGATGGAGATAGACACGGGATCACCAATATCCATCATGTCTTGGGAGAATCTGAAGAAAGTCATCCCCAGCGTACACAAGCGACAGCTCCAGCCGCAGCAACGCAGACTGAAGGATTACCAGGGGAACCGCATACCCGTTGAAGGCAGAGGCGAGTTCCAAGTCCAGTACGGGGAGTTTACCGAGAAACTGCCCCTCACCATCGTCAGCGACAACCTCCCCAGCCTCCTGGGCATGGACTGGTTTAGGGCCCTAGGCATGGGATTCACCGGAGTAAGGAACGTTCGAAGCACCCTGAAGGAAGACCTGATGCAGGAGTTCCAGGACGTGTTCAACGAAAGGCTTGGCAAGTATGTGGGGACCCCGATTTCATTTAATCTAGACCCCAATATTGCACCCATCCGCTTAAAGCCTAGGCGGGTACCATTTGCCCTGAAGCCCAAAATAGACATTGAACTGGACAAATTAATCAAACAAGGGGTGCTCGTTCCAGTCGACCACGCCAAATGGGAGACCCCAATTGTTACACCGGTCAAGCCGGACGGGTCAGTGCACATATGCGCTGACTATAAATGCACAATAAATAAGGCCCTGCAGCAGAGCGCCTATCCAGTGCCCGTCGTTCACCACTTATTGCATTCCCTGGGCCCCGGCAAGATCTTCGCAAAACTCGATCTTGCGCAGGCGTACCAGCAGCTGCCGGTAGATGGTGCTACCGCAGAGGCACAGACTATCGTAACCCACAGAGGGGCCTTCAAGTGTACCCGTTTGCAATTCGGGGTAAGCGTGGCCCCCGGACTGTTTCAAAGTACCATGGAGCGGCTACTACAGGGGATCCCCAGGGTGGTGCCCTATTTCGATGACGTACTCATTACCGCCGACAACGAGCACCAGCTAAGAGAAAGACTGAGGGAGGTATTAAGGAAATTCAGGGACGCAGGACTCAGAGTGAAACGCAACAAATGCATGATCGCAGTCCCCTCAGTCGAATTCCTAGGGTACAGGGTAGATGGCACCGGCATTCACCCCACAGAAAGCAAGATCAGGGCAATCCAAGAAGCACCCACCCCCAAAGACAAGGCAGAATTACAGGCATTCCTGGGACTATTAAACTTCTACGCCATTTTCCTTAAGGACAAGGCAACAGTGGCAGAACCCCTACATAGACTGTTAACCAAAAAAGCCATTTGGAAATGGGGGAAGGCTGAAGACAGGGCATTCGCCGGCATTAAAAAACTGCTATCAGCCGAGAGTTTTCTAATCCAGTACAACGCAACGCTTCCCCTTGTTCTAGCATGTGACGCGTCACCGTTCGGGGTGGGAGCCGTCCTGAGCCACAGACTCCCGAATGGCCTAGAGGCGCCCATCGCATATTACTCCCGAACTCTATCAAGTGCCGAGCGAAATTATAGCCAGCTCGACAAGGAGGCCCTAGCCACCGTTTCGGGAGTGAAAAAATTCCACGAGTACTTGTTCGGGAGGGACTTTGAGTTAATCACAGACCATCGACCGCTCCTGGGTCTCCTCACGGGAGATCGACCAACCCCGGCAGCACTTTCGCCCAGGATGACACGCTGGGCCATCTTCCTCGCAGCATACTCCTATCGCCTGGTACATTGACCAGGGGCGGACATGGGCAACGCGGACGCACTCAGCCGATGCCCACTACCCGACAGTTTAGAAGACCCCACACCTGGCATCCCCATCCTGCTGATAGACGTTTTGGACTCTGGGCCCATCACATCAGCCGAGGTTGCGAGAGCCTCAACCAAAGACCATGTGATCCGGACAGTCGCAAGTTGGGTCATGAGGGGGTGGCCGGAAAGGATTGGGAGCGGGGAATTTAAACCATTCGCGGGAAAACGGGATGAGTTGACAATGCAAGGGGGTTGTTTACTATGGGGCGATCGGGTTGTTATTCCCTCACGTTTAAGAGAAAAAGTTTTAACGTTGTTGCATGAGGGGCACCCAGGGATTGTAAGAATGAAGGGGCTAGCCAGGAGCTACGTCTGGTGGCCCAGCATGGATACAGACATTACCGAGTGGGTGGGGAAATGCCAGCCCTGCCAAGAGTCCAGATCAGACCCGCCAACGGCACCCGTGAGAGAGTGGGAAAGGCCCCAGGGACCCTGGTCCAGAATGCATATTGACTTTGCAGGCCCATTCCATGGACAGACCTTCATGGTCATCGTAGACGCATTCTCCAAATGGTTGGAGATCAAGCTAATGAAGGCCACTACCACCGACGCAACCATCAGAGAGCTAAGACAGTTATTTGCCACACATGGGTTACCGGACATCCTAGTGTCAGATAACGGGCCACAGTTCACCGCAACACAGTTCGAGGGCTACTTAGCGGGACTTGGGATCAGACATATCCTTTCTGCCCCGTTTCACCCGGCTAGTAACGGACAGGCTGAGAGATTTGTTAGGTCAGCAAAGGAGGCCCTTTCACGCTTAAGCCCCGGGGACTGGCAGGAAAGGGTAGACAAGTTCTTAATAGCTCAGCACTCCACACCCTGTACGGCCACGGGCCGAAGTCCGGCCGAACTATTAATGGGGCGGAAACTCCGGGGAATACTAGATAGGCTCAACTCCAATTACTCCCCAGAGGTCTTCAAAGGGGGGGAGAGGAAGCTTAGAGAATTCACCATAGGAACACCAGTTCACGCTAGAAACTATGGACAGGGCCCACTCTGGGAAGCCGGGACAATCACAGAAATCACGGGGCCCAAATCATACAGGGTAGATATGGGAGACGGGAGAGTTTGGCGCAGACACATTGACCAGCTTAGAAAACGGGTAACCACAGACACCGATGACAAATTAGACGACCCCATCTCTGACCATGACTACCAGCCAGAAGCACAAAACACGAGCCCGAGTAGAGCGGAGAACTTAGCTGAGGATTCTGGTATCCAGCGCCGCCCCATCGAGGTAGTCCCAACAGCCGAAGAAGTCGCCGCCCACGAGGAGGTCCCGGAGGCCTCATTGGCGGAGCAGGGAGAAACAGAAAGTCCCTCCGACCTGCTCGACGCCGCCCCTCCGACTGAACTGCGCAGGTCAACTAGGACTCGCACACGCCCTAGTCACCTGAGAGACTATGTATGCAAATAACACCCCAAGTGACTTCTGGGAGGGGAGGAATGTTATGTAAATAGGTTTGTTTGGCGGGAAGTTCGAATTAACTGACCCTCAGCTGATTGGCTGACCACCACAGCTGCTAGGTATATAAAGGGAGCTGGCTCCCCTGGTCAGTTGCTGGAGTCTCACCATACAATAAAGAGCTGTTGTCACGAACTACTCTGGCTTGCTGCGTCCTCATTCACCCCACTTAACAATTTTGGATAGTTGAGATTTAAAATATAAAGGTAAAGGTTCCCCTCGCACACATGTGCTAGTCGTTCCTGACTCTAGGAGGCATTGCTCATCTCTGTTTCAAAGCCAAAGAGCCAGCACTGTCCAAAGACATCTCCGTGATCATGTGGCCGGCATGACTAAATGCCAAAGGCACACGGAACGCTGTTACCTTCCCACCAAAGGTGGTCCCTATTTTTCTACTTGCATTTTTATGTGCCTTCCAACTGCTATGTTGGCAGAAGCTGGTACAAGTAACGGGACCTCACCCTGTTACACAGCACTAGGGATTCGAACTGCTGAACTGCTGACCTTTCGATCGACAAGCTCAGCATCTTAGCCACTGAGCCACCGTATCCTTATATTTAAAATATGGTCCCCTCACAATTAATGAATAGACTAAAAATACCCAAGAATTAGTCAGTGAAAGCCGGGAGATACCAAGGGGGACATATACATTTATCAAATAATTAAATAAATTGTTAAACACATTTATATGTAACATTTTACTGTTAATTTTCAGATAGATAGATAGATAGATAGATAGATAGATAGATAGATAGATAGATAGATAGATAGATAGATAGATGATAGATAGATAGAGTTAGATAATAGATAGATAGATGATAGATAGATAGATAGATAGATAGATAGATAGATAGATAGATAGATAGATAGATAGATAGATAGATAGATAGATGATAGATAGATAATTGTAGTTTCCATTTATAATAAAGGTTTGCTGAACAAAATCTTGACCAGCTTTGTGAAATCATTTTCACAATAAATAGGAACAGGGAGAAAAATGAAGCAAATAAAAGAGGGATATAAAGGGCAAATCCTATCATACCAAAGCAAACAAAAACACTGAGCTTTGTATTATTTCTCTTAGCAATTAGGAAGAGTTCTGGGCACAGAAAGACTTGAATTTAATTTGGGAGTTCTTTCAAGACTTCTACTCTGACACATTCTCTGGTAAATCATTATTAGTGTTTCAGGCACTGAAAACTTACAATCATAATAGTGTATGCCTTTCTTGCCTTTCCAAGTCCTAGCTTCTTGGGCTCTTTGAGCAAGTCACATGCATCCAAAAAGAGAAATCAACTATTTAAGGAGGAGTTATATTTTTTTAATGTGCTGATTTTCTGTTTCAAATATTGGTCAGAACTTTGCTAAACATTTAACCTCAAATGGTAAATGGGAAAGCTGTGTGCTCAGTATATTAGTCTTGCCAGTACATGATTCACTAGGGAAGACTGAAGTTTGCTTTTATTTTTGCAACTTCTGCTCTGTGACATTATAAGCTGCAATTGCTTGCGTCTTCTCTGCTGAATAATTATTGAATCAAACAACTACTTTCCATTTTTATATCTATATAATCATAGCCAAACATTCAGATGGCTATGACTATATAGCCATCTTAACATAAGACAATGCCCTTTCAAAGTCTATAATCAAAATATATAAATTATCACAAATTTTCTGAGCCTAATTTTAGGTCTCTGTGTGACTTTTGTTAACTTTGAGAATCTTTTTATTTAATACCAGGATACTTGAAAGGTAACTAATGCATATAAAAGGTTATCCATTAAACCAACATATTCTTATATTATAAATTAAAATGTCTGGAAGAAAGAAAAGAATGGGAAAACCTATTAATAAGAATTATCATAGCACCACATACAGATTCAAGATAGAAACAATCACCCCATCAAAGAAGAATATAATAAGGTCCGTATTTGCTATGACCTGTCCTGAGTTAGCAATACTCTACATACAAAAATCACTTGTCAAAACTATCACAGAGTGAAGAAACAGCACAAAAAAAAAATAATAGTCAAACAGAACAGCAGCACATTTCAAGAATGCCAGTAGTGTCTTGCTGAGATAAAGAAAATCCTCTTGCTGCTGGTGATATTAAAGCAAAAATACAACAAATATATCTTACATACATCTCAACAATCTGATTGCTTTTGTCTTCACTGTTATTAAAATACAATTTAAAAAGTAGACATTATCTATCATTTCTCAAGAAGTAATCATACTGTTTGGAAATCCCACTGATATCCCATTAAAAAAATGTTGCATTGCCTATTAAAAGCATTTCAGCAAGGCCATAGATGGAAACCTGTGGCCCATGCATGGATTTAATGTTAAAGAGGCTGTAGCTTTCCTTTAAAAAAAAAAAAAAAAGTGATGTTGAATAGATATACATTATTTGCAACTGTTTCAGGAATATGTCAGGGAAAGAGAAGTTTGTAAATTAACATATTTCTACCCATAGTACTATAGGGATGCAGTGGCTAAGACGCAGAGCTTGTCGATCGAAAGGTTGGCAGTTCAACGGTTCGAATCCCTAGTGCCGTATAATGGGGTGAACTCCCATTACTTGTCCCAGCTTCTGCCAACCTAGCAGTTCAAAAGCATGTTAAAAATGCAAGTAAAAAAATAGGGACCACCTTTGGTGGGAAGGTAACAGCATTCTGTGTGCCTTTGGTATTTAGTCATGCCGGCCACATGACCACGGAGATGTCTTCGGACAGCACTGGCTCTTTGGCTTTGAAACTGAGATGAGCACCGCCCCCTAGAGTCGGGAACGACTAGCACATATGTGCGAGGGGAACCTTTACCTTTACGTTTACCCATAGTACTAATAAAGAGCCTGTAGTACAGTGGACTAAAGCACTGTATTTAACATCTGCTGCTTGCAATTACTGCAAGTTCAAATCTCACCAGGCTCAAGGTTGACTCAGCCTTCCATCCTTTCAAAGGTAGGTGAAATGAGGACCCAGATTGTGGGGGCAATAAACTGACTTTGTATAAATATACAAAAGTATGAAGGCTATTGCTTAATGCATTGTAAGCCGCCCTGAGTCTCCGGAGAAGGGCGGCATATAAATTAAAGCAAATAATAATAATAATAATAATAATCAGAAAGCATTACATATCACAAAATATTGAGCTATACACAATCTAAGATTTGACCCAGGCTACTATCTCTCAGCATTTTTTTTTTCCTCAAAGGGGGTTGGGGAAAACCTGTCTCCCTTTTGTTGGATTGGGGGGAATCTTTTCATTTTCAAAGGAGAGATTATGTTTACTAATTTGAAATAAGAACAGCAATATACTGCAAGAATTGCCCTAAATCCTAACTACTTTAGCTGTGCCTTATATACTGTAACTAAATGGCAATATAGCACTATAAGTGGTTAGATTATTCACAGAAAAATGAAACTTGTACCAAGTAGGTACAGAAATAGTAATTGGGAAAGTTAAATATGAGAAGAGATATATCTAACATTGGAGATAATGCTCCAATTTCTTCAACTGAAACTATTTTCTCAGGGTTTTTTTTTAAAGCAAACATTCAGAAGCACAGTTCCATTTTGGAATAATTTGGTCATTTTCCTTAATACGTTAATGTAGAGGAGTTGTAAAGTATCCAGAATAACCCAAGGTTAAATATTTTTAATGTTCAGGTAATAGAAAGCCTGTCAGATTGAACAACCTGAATTAGCCCTTCAGTACATGCAGCCTTTCCTTCAAAGTTTTCTTATTGGTCACAAAAAAAAAAAAAAAAAACCCTAGCTTCTCACTATTACAATAGAAAAAGTGGTGAAGAAAATAGCCTTTTGTAAATTAGTAATTGCAAATCACAAACTAGTCCATCCCAACCATCCCAACCATGCACAACGATGGAGGATATTAGGAATTGATGTTGGGATAATGGGAATAATGTTGGTCCTAATGTCTAGGGAGATTCTCAATCATCTAGATCATAGTTGTCCCAAAGGTGTTTTTCAAAAGGACTTTTGAAATTAGACTTCCTTGGGTTTTTTCCTGAAAACATTCCGCTTCTCATTCAAGAAGCTTCTTCTGTTCTGACTCCACAGCCATAGAAATTTTTCAAGGAAAAAACCAAGAAAGTCTGGTTGCCTTTTGAATTTTTGGGACATGTTGGTTCTAATGTTTGGGAGAATTGCTTCAGATGGTAAAACAGAACAACTTACTGGAGTGCAAGAAACCTGGCTAGAAAGAATATGCACATAAAAGCCTACGAAAAAGAAAAAGAAACATTGTACCTTTACAGGGAGGTTACCTGAGAAGAGGGTGTGGCTCACTGATGACGCCTTATAAGGCAGAAATAGCTATCTGAGTCTCCCAAAGAGCAGCACAGAGTTGCTGTTTGTCAGCAAGAAACAAAAAGCCCAGAAACTTGTGAATGAGATTTCACAGAACCAGGGCTGTAGAACATCTTAGCTTACGTAGGTAAAACCTGGCTAGAAAGAATATGCACATAAAAGCCTATGAAAAAGAAAAAGAAACACACACACACACACACACACACACACACACACACATATATACACTTTTTTTCTATAACTTTTTATTGATGACTGGTTTGTTTTACTGAGTTGTATAGTTGCTTTTATATAGAACTAGAACATAACAGTTATTCCCTTTAGAGCTTGGAGAAAAACCTGGCAGGACAAGAAATACCTGGCTTGTACACGACAAACAAGCAAACAAAAAAATGGTGCCCACAGCCCAAGCCATGAGTTGATTTATGCGTTCCTGTC